AATGTCGTTCACCCTGCTGCTAATTCACTGCTGTCGCAGCTCGTCGAAAACGGGGGAAGCGGTTCGGCAATATAGTATAGAGCTCGAAAAATACGTTTACGCAACCTCGATGTAAACGCACTCGACGCGATCCATCGCGGAGATAAATAACGGTCGGACGCTGCTATGACGCGTGGAAACTTATAAATATCAGGAAACTTATAAATATCAGTAGAAGCGAGGGGACGGAGTTGAACGGAGTGCCAAGGCGTCGAACGTCGTACTCAAGATGAACGACTACGCCCTCGTTATATCCCACGAAGTCGCGCCCAGGCTGGCGCGAAGGGATTCGGGAACCATGAAAGTAACGCTTCCGTTGACCTCCTTGAGGAGGCACAGCGGGTGCGTTTCCACGCTCTCACGAGCGAAGCCGCATCCGAAATTGGTGTACGTCGCAGTCCCGTAAGTGTGTTTCAATCAATCTTCACAACAATCGCCGCATAAGAGAGCCGTATACGTGTCGCATAAAAGATTGTGTCCATAAAAGATTGGGTGCCTCTAATTATAGCACCATCTATCTCTACTCGAAAGTCAAATAAAACGCAGAAATATTTTTGTCATATTTTTTTGTCAATAGTTTGCCATATTTATTAATACATCTTTAATTCATTCAGAAAAATTATTCTTCTTCGCTATTGTTTAATTTTAGTATAATAATTTATGAAGACTTTTTCTTTCCTTTCGATTGAACAATTGATTTATTGTTTAGACTTTTGAGGAAGAGGTCAGGGAATAAATAAGCTAATTTGTTTTCAAAAAAAGTTGGGTAAAAAAATAGCTGACTGTAAAAACAAATCCGTCATTTTAAATAATTGCTGTTCGAAATATTTATACAACTCTGCCGTATTGCCGGCATTTAAGACGTTTAGGGCATTTCGTCCGGTTCGCGCGATGCGAAAGAAGATGCATTAGGAAATGAGCGCGAAATAATTGACGGCAACCACCAGCAATCACGGTTATACACGAACACCGTAAAAAAACAAGTATTACCTTAATGCAATTATCCTAATGCATGCACGCGATACTGTATTTGCACGATGCTGTAAAACGAGCTTTCGAATATACGTATTTATTATTAAGGACCATTCACATATTCTACTAAGCCAGCCAAGCGACCTTTGAACCGCACTTTTTCTCCTTTTTTGCAAAATTCTACAAAATTCTCTTCCGCGTCCCGCGGGATGCATATTTCTCTTGTTTTTCACGCACGTGCGGAGAAATATTAATCCGCTTCCCGGGTATTATTTATCCGACCGGCGGGGGGAATCCGCATCGCATTTATCGCTATTTTCTCGCTGTGAAACGGAGCGGGAAACGAGCTATCGTATCTCGAAATCGATAATGAGACCATTAGCAATCACGGGCGGGGCGAATGATATGAAGATGATACGTGCGTATGTGTGTACGTGTGTGTGTGTGTGTGTGTGTGTGTAATTAGCGGAATGCGCGTATACGAGCGGCGTATTCCATTCGAGTAACGCACACTTCCGGCGCGGGCCGTTCGCGCGCGTAGCGGCGCGAATTGAACTGGCGTACGGCATCAATTAGGAGTTTCGGTAAACAATCGATGGTACTCTTGCGACCGTTTAATTGCGCGCCAGGAAGCGCAATTAATCATTGACGGATACGGGGGGGGAGAGGGAGGGGGGGAGCAATTAATGCGCGACATTCGTCGAGGTGTAGCGAGACGAGTTCGTGACAAACGCTGATAAACTGGTCACTCTACTCTGGTCGATTATCCGAGCGATTCAATTTAGAAATTCGAGCCTCCCTTGAGCTCTCCGAAAGCTCTCGTCGTTGTGTATTTGCATTTATTACTACATCGTTCGATTTTAATTTTAATCATATCGAGCAACGGTCTCCTGATGACGGCATAAATTTGCTTCACCAAACCGTAGACTTTTTTCTGTATTGATAAATCGTTCGTCGATTATGATTGTTATTGCGATAAAGAGTTAAAAATGTCGCGTTGTATTGAAATTTAATAGATAGCGCTCGCCTTTGTGCGTTCGAAGATTAATGACAGCCCGCTGAACCAGCGATTCGGCGTATATGACATCTATCAAAATTGGAGCGCAAATTCGCGAATCGATGGACACGGGCACGCGTACAAAGCTTATTTTACAAGCCGATAAACGGCGTCGAATAAATAATAATTTTTCGAGCAGTGGCAGATTTTGCGAGTTAAAACGGCAGAGAGAAATCAATTGTACAACGATGTTGTCGGGACGATTGTTGTTAACGAATTAGGCCAATAAAATTGCTCGAACGAAGAACCCTTATCTCGTGTCGCGTTGCTCGAAGCGCTCGTATAAAATTCGTTGAAAATTGATCGTTGAGAATACAACGTATTTCGAACGTGCTGTAACAATGTGCTGCTATACGTGTAGTTCAATAAAAGTCTGGTCTCGGAGATTTTTTTTTCGAACAAATGGGCGCGGCCTTCGAATCGCGGAAGTGCCTTCATTAATGACATTCGTATTTCAGCTGCAACAAATATTAGCTCTGATCTAGGCTCTAGGCCCGTCGTATACAAACTATTTCCTTCCTCGTCGGAATGCACTCCTCCTCGTGCACTTTTCACAAATTGCGAGTAAGTTGTCTTCACGTGCCGTACGTTCCTTCGTCAATCGCGTTCACGATCAGATTGTACGGGACGCAATCGCGACCGCTATCATTGACAACGGTCGGGCTATTTGTCATACTGAATGGCAAGGTTACGAGATTAATCACAGTTTACATAATACGACATAATGATCGTTATCGCGGGCCGGGAGAACGGAGCTGCATACCTTCGCGATATTGTTCTCTTGATGTAAACAGAAAGGAAAAAAAAATTTAATTAAGTGACGGGCGCATTATTGCAGGCGAACTACCGTGACCACGGTAACTGTCTGCTTCCGACTTTACAGACACTCTTTGAAAACATGCAATTTCATTGCTACAATGCAGCACAACGAATGCGTTAATATCTATAATGGAAAATGGAAATTTATTAATAATTATATCTTATTTCTTTATTTACGTGAATACCGATCCGATTATCGAAAAATATATTTGCCGATTTGCGCAAAATTTTATTCTCAGAAATATGTAATATTAAATCGTACAAATTTATTCAGGAGACATCTGCAAGAGAAATATCTTAAGCTTAGCACGCGCATGCGAAATAGATAAAAGATTCGCTGTAATGAGTACCCAAGTGACGAGATTTTCGCTCCAGTTACCCGCCAAAATTCCCGCGAGCCTTAACTAGATATATTTATGACGCAACGTGAGCCAAAAAGGATACAACTCGACATCTCTTGGCATCTCGTAAGAAGACACTTCCACGTCGTTAGTGTAATGAGGAAGATTTTGTAATCCATTTTACGCTTCATTTAATTAAGGTCGCTCAAGGCGATAAATTTTTCTTTCACCTGCAACGTGTTGATCGTACCCACGAGGGTCATGAATTTCCGCACGTGTTCCATTTATCGAGTTTCTTCGATTATTCTCAAATTTCTTTTGTAACAGATATATATCATTAAAAAATTATTTCTATTTTTTGTAAATTTAACTTTAACATAAAATACTTTAAGAAAAGTAAAGTGTAATTAGAAAAAAATGGAGATTTACCTCCATTTTCACCAATGTGGATTAATTTTGATCTCGGTTCAATTTACTTTCTATCTTCTTCTAATTCATAGAATTATATAAAGATAGAAAGTGGATTTTTTTACCGAGATTAAAGTTAATCTACATTGATGGAAATGAGGGTTAGGTTTGAAAATGAGGGTTAATCTTTTGAGTATGTCTTATTTGTTGAAAAATATCGAACTATTCTGTGTCACGTGGAACAACATTACGATTTGTACGCGGAATTGTTTTCAAGACGCCGAAGAATAGTGTAAATGTTTTACGCAGCTTTATTGCGAAATGGGCCATGTGCGTATTCTGGATATTTATTTTCGTGAAAACGTCATTCCACTTAGATTTCTCAGCTTCGAACACGTCTATTTTGGGCCGTCCAATTCGCGTCTGAATGGTCGAAGACCTCGACCAGCTGTTTTCATCGAATTCTGAACCGAAGATTAAGTATAACGAATTTAATTGCGACCGTGATTTCCACCTGTTGCGAAGAGAAACATACTTTTTTGTCGATAACAAGTATACACGGGTGGTATTGTGTCTGGAAAGAAATTGAAAAACCTGAAAGGAAGGATGATACGTGATTAATGAAAAAGCTCGATCGATACATGGCACAAAACGAGTCTATAAGTATGTCTTCTTCGAGAAAGACCTAGAAGACACCATGACAGCACGTCAGCGTAAGAGAGGAAGGTTAATCAATTTTGTTCGTTACTCTTTGCGGATCCAAGCGCGATACATTTCTAGACTACAGAAATTCATGAAGGTGTCCGGGCTCGCCATCAATATATTTCAATGTGCGCCCCATTCATCATGCTCAGGATACCGAGGCGATATTTTATTATGGCCATATTCCGTTCTACGGGATCAAAAAGCATCGACCATATTTTGTGTTTCCGCGCGGCAACCCGGCGACGCGGCACAATTCATAAACCTGTTTTTATCGGATCGAAAGTAGTTTTGCGAGCGAAAAATTATTATATTTACACGGCATTATCATGGATTTATGCGAAGTTTTGTCGTCAAGAATCACGTCACGTAATTTTTCACGCCACAGACATCAGATGCTTCAAGGTCGTCGATCAAAGATCGCGGCATCAAAATCATTCATCCCTCGTGCGAGTCGCATCACGTGAAGTAATAAAAAGTCTGCTCTTTACTCATCTTTCTTCCTTTTCTTTCCACGTTAGAGAGAAAAAGAGGAGAGACGAACCGTGCAAGAAGTTTAGCTGAAATGAACAGAGATTCTCACGGAGAATCTCACGTACTCGAGATTCTCCGCGAGAAATCCGTAGCCTGCTTCTAATGACAGTTTACGTTTCTCATTACAGCTTCGATGTGGAAAATGGCGCCTCGACGTTGGACGGCGGCGCCGGCGGTGGCGGCGGCGCCTCACCGAGCGCGGGCCTCGTTTTACAGACGTTGCCCCAGAGAAGGGAGAGCTTCCTGTACCGAAGTGACAGCGACTTCGAGATGTCGCCGAAGTCGATGTCTCGAAACAGCTCCATCGCGAGCGAGAGGTGAGCATTCCCCCGTTTCTTTCTTTCTCCTCAAATAAATTCGGTCTTTCCTCCCGCGAAATAAATTGACGGCGGATTATAAAAATTGATCGATCCGTAAATCTGGTCTTACGTGAGTAATGCAGATAGCGCAGATATCGACGAAGGTTGCTTCGATGCTACTCGAGCGAAAAAAACCTATGATACCCTTCCTCAGGGGCGGGAGGGGCATTTATTTGCTTTCACGAGAAATGTCGAACCTGAAAGAACGTCACGCAATTTACTATGACATGACGCGGCATTCATTTATTTATTACGAAACATTTATCACAACATACTTCGCTGCGTGCTCATACATACACGCATTAATCAACGAGTTTCGCAATATATTTTTTTCCTATTTTTAATCCCCCTGAGCGGAAAGTTTTTTTTCATGAGATATTTGATGATTAATTTATCCCGTTGTAAGTCGCAAAAAGCGACATTAACGTGAATAATGCTTTAATGCAATAATATTCTAAAATTATTTGATAATTTTTTTGTATATAATACGCGAGAAGATGTAAATTTTCAAAAAGCGTCTTGAAATGTGTCTTGTCGAAAATGCAAAATTAGAAGCGTCGAAGCAACATTCGTATGTTTAAAAAAGTACACAGAATACAAACTAACACACAATCCTGTACCAAAAAGAACCATATTGCCCTATTTGTTCTTTTTAAAATCAAATCAGAGCGAATTGTTGATTTACGAACGGCGCCAATTGTTTGTTGAAATTTCAAAAAATGATATTGTAACATACACATGATTTTTTACAAAATTTTTATGCATGCGTGCACATAATGGCACCTCTCTGCAGTTCTACAATTGCGCAGCTGGAAATTTTGCCGCGCATTTGTCCGGTCATAAATGAATCACGATGTTCGTCCCATTATTTATTCCGATACAAATCTGTAATATCGTTGGAAGGTTGTGAGGACGTTTTTTGCGGCAACGAAGAGAACGCGTATCGATAAAGCAGATGCCTCCTTCTCGAAGCTACTACCATCACAGCTTCGGAGGTATCGCCGATAAAATGGAGAACGGAAGAGGGAGGCTTGTTGGTGGCGCCGGCAATGCTGCTGACGTGAAACCGCGACGAGATATTCACGTTATCTTCCTGTGAAACAGCTGAATGACAGACTCCGATGATTAACGCGATAAATATAAAGAAATTATTGTAAACACGCGTGCTACATTTTAAACTCGAGTTTATCATTATCAATTGAAGCGAATGATATATTTGCGAATTTATTACGTGTGTACGAACATGCGTTCTCTCTTCGTTGTTTGCAATTGTGACTTATGCGTGTAACAATCTTGCTAGTCATTTGGTCCCACAACTGTACGAACTGTAAACAGTTCAACGTAATTTCGTCTTCGTGCTTTTGTGTACCTTGACAAATATCGTAGTCTCTCTTGGTGGCCGGTGATGCTTACTCTACTGGTTCTTATTTACTTTTCTTCTCACAGATTACCAGTTACTTCACTTGCATACACATACGTTTAATCATCTGCGGCGAAATGATGTTTCTAAATGATACTGATTATAATAGTAATGATGATAATTTATGAAAATCAATTATATTTGTTTTTGTTTAATTCGAAAGAATGATCATTGTACTAATTCGTTAAATTTTTATATAAAATTTAATATTTTATAATTTGTAAAATTTTTATAAATTTTGATTTATCTCATATAGATATCTAACGTCTCTGATATCTTGAGATGACGTCGCGTGTCGATGCAATTTAGAGGCATCATCTGTCGTCTGTTTAAATGTTTTACCGTCGCTAGTGGGTGTCGGGGTGTGACGATATGATGTATGTGATCCTTGGGTTGCAGGTTCAAAGAGACAGAGCTTCCTGTCGAGCGAGCGTATGTACTCGATCCTATTATCTAACTCATTTTCGTTTTTTTTTTTGTTTCACACTTGGACTTTACACTAACAATTCATTCAACGACCCATGTGTATACGATCACCGATGTAAAGCAACGTCCCAATATTTCACTAATATGTTTCACGTGGGCGACCAGTTTGTTTTTCAAAAAATTTTATTACGTGCATGTTACGTTTTATTCGTGTGGAATTTTTTTTTTAGTACTGTTGTGACATTTTTGTTTTAACATATTTAGATATTTTCCACTTTTGTCACTAAATTTAATCAACCCTTATTTCAATCGATATCTATGTCACTTACAAGCGTGATTGCATAATGTCATGATGTCACTACTTGAAATAAAACGTTTAAAAATAGTTGCGATGAGATAATACAAATTTAGTAATACAAATTGAGATAATACAAATTTAATTTTTGTTCGAGGTGTTAAAATTTCAATCGTTAAGAATTTTTCAAACTAGTTGAAATAATGAACGGAAATAATGACGGTGCAGTTTGTGCTTGTGAGCTTTATAACTATTTCTGTCGGAATATAATAATTTTATCGTTTTTGAATTATATCATCCGTTTTTGTGTACATTCCTGATAATTTCTCTGGTGGTCACGGAACCGAGCAAACTTGGACACAAGATCGCATCGACCTCACGTACACGCAACGAATACACACAGCTTTAGCATAAGAACATGCAAATCCCGCGCTTACGCAACAACGACATTGCTTTATGATATAGCGATATTGCTGATTTAGAGCGTAGATTTAGATGGCTAAAATGGGCAAAAATTCATGTTGAGTCTTGTTTATCGTTCTCGACATTATAAAGACATTATCAAATAAAAGAGAGAAACAATTTGCTGCGTAATCATATTATCTTGTTGCTTCCGCCGGTCTTTCAGTTTCAAAGTTCAAAGTATCGAATACATATATCGCGTATTACTATTTTAGGCTTACTTGTCATCATCGTGCCTAATGAATTCTTTGTATGGTAAAATGCGCGCTGTACGTGACGATGTAGTAACGTTTGTACTGAGCGTCGGATTACAGTAATCTTTTTTGCGAATTAAGCCTAAGTATTATTACTAACCGCATGCTGAACATAGTCGAACGTTGTCGAATAAATACGAATTCTTATTTTCAGGATATTTACCGATCAGTACAGGTAAGTCGCATCATCACGATAATTTAAGCGTAGTCCTTCGCGAAACAAGTCTCGTTACAAGCAATCGTAGCGATTGGATGATCGTGTCTCGTGTCTCGTCGATTAACGTTCAATTCGCGTTTCTCACGTAAACTCATACATACTCTTACGCAAGAAAGATCTTTAACGAATTATTAATTCATTGGGATGAAATAACACACAAGTTGAGAGAGAGAGAGAGAGAGAGAGATTGAAATTGCGGATGCTTCTCGCGCGCAATACACGTCGTAATAATAATTCACAAAAGGAATTGCGAGAAAAATCTCGCGTCTAACGGGAAAAAGTATATTATTTCTTGTAATTACTTGTAGATACTAGGGAATTATCTCTCTGCATAATGTGACGCAGCTATGCAAATCGGTTAAGTATTATGCGTTATGTTTTTTTTTTTTTTTTTTTCCCCCCTACGATTGTTCCGTCGTATATGTTGTGTCGTATACATCATCTATTATTCCGTCAGACATACTACGACGACAGAGTCTCGCATGCGGGTCTCATTTTACCCGATAGAAATGTGAGTGCAACGTGAGTGCACACGAGTGGAACTGCAGGCTAAGCAAATATTTTTATCTAAAGTGGCGTACGCGATTTTATTAACGTACGGATTGATAATGTAGGATGCTTTTCACTTGCATCTGCCGTGACGCATAAAAACGCCTACCGTTTTTTTTTTTCCGAAGAGTGATCGGTTTTATAATAAAAAAATTTCATATTTTACATGACATGATGAAAAAAAGGGCAGGAAAAATATATAAATATATTTGCGCGCCCTTTGTCTGTAAACAGAATGTAATGCTTGTAAATGATTGTATGCTCATCGTAATGTGCAAGATTATTATTATTTTAATTAATTCAAGTGAGTGCCTGTGGCGAGCCCATTATTTTATCTTACGTTTCTGCGGCTCGATCGTCATTAGATTGCAGTAACGGCTCGCGCGATTGAAAATTTACGCTGTCGATCGACGAGGAATTGGCGATTTAATTATTCAAGTTCCTCGAGTGTCGCGAGCGGAAAGTTGATCGGCCGAGCTCCGCGCTCGTGGATATTGTGTCTGACGGGCCTGAAATTAGATTTTCCGACGAGCGCGGCGATTATTTCCGGCGTCATCCGGCGTTAATCGCCGTTAACGACACTTCGCGGACACGCGTTATACTCGAATACGTACGCGCGTAATTTTGCCTTAATTATCAAATTTACGTTCACGATCGGATGCGGGAAACGGGGCCTGACGTACGGTATTTTCGTGAATCGCGCGAAAACGCGATAAATATCGGGGCCTGCGAGGGAGGAGGGGGGGGGGACTGATACCTCCCTCTAAGCGTAAAGCTCCTCTCGGCGCAACGCGGAGACCGGAAATTGTTATTCATATCGCGCGACAACACGCGCGCGATCGGCGATCTAGTAAACGGCCCTCGGCGCATCGGATCCATTTAATTATAAGACGTAAATCGCTCGGAAGATTGCCAGAGGAACGCGGGAGCGATCTATCAAAGTGATGCGTGTGTGTGTGTGTGTGTGTGTGTTTCAATCCTGCGTATCTGGAGGACGCCCAACTCAAACTTCTCTCAGATTGAATGAAAATAGCTGAATGGCTTGTCTAAGCGATGAAATTAACCTCTGAGCGCTACGTAAGCAATTCCATCCACGATAATCGTTTAACAGAAATCCGTTAGACATCCGTCCCGAACAAATTCCGCTTAATTGTATTTGAAGAGAGTGACACAACTCGCTCGCAACGAAATTCCTCTATTTGTAGAAAAAAAAAAAAAAAAAAACCGTACAATTGGCTATATTGTGTCACGCGCGCGCGCATGTATGTGTGAGTATACGCGTATGTGTGTGAGTATGTGTGTGTGCGTGTATATATATATATATATATATATATAGCAACTCGTGACCTAGCCTAGGCGATGTAAACTAGACTGAATGCGCTTAATTATTGCGTTCGTTAGTCTTCTCCGTTGTTTCACGCGACGCCGAGCGTCGTAACAGAATTGTTTACTTGCTTCACAATAATTGTTATTATGCTTCACGTATAATATGGGAATCCCATTCCAGTTCCGCCATAGTACGTTTTGTTTAAAAATCTGCATCCGTGGCAGCGAACACTTTAGATAACCGGTTGCTGAAATTTGAATCAAAAATATTATTCTCGTCTTTTACATCACTTTATCGTAGTCATTTATACAAATATTGAATTGGAAGTGATCGCTATAACGATGGTTGTTTTCGAGAGTATTTTGTTACGTAATCCAATGTCTGGCAGTTTTACGCGAAAAAAATGCTTATAGTTTTACGCAAAAAAAAAAAAAAAAAAGAACGTATGTACGTATGTACGTGATATCGCAAATTTCATCTAGAAAATCAATATTGACCAAACGGCATAATATTAAAAGATAGATAGTATAACCATATTTTTTTTTGTCTATGAGTCTACGGGTCTATTCTGGTGTTTACGTAATACGGGCTGTGCCGAGGGAAAGAAAGGAAGAATATGTAATTTTTGAAAAATACAAGCGGTATTTTAGCATATGTAAATTGTTTGTATAATTTGTTTATACATTAAGGCATATTCACGAATGCGTAAAACTTAAAAGTCGACTTTCCGTGTGTACTTTATAGAAATATGTAAAATATTTGTCCAACTGCAACTACTAAAAAAATGAGACGACTTGCAATTGTAAAAAATTCTGCTTAGGTGATTAGAAATTTACTTTAGAAATTACGTTGCCGTGTTATATCTCGAGTGAGATAGCTCCAAGTTGTCTCGACGTAACGCGAAATCATTATCTATACGGTGTTGCCCATCGTGTCGTGTATGATAAGCCCATGCTTTTCTCGCGTTAGAAAGATTAAGTACACTTAAGTGGATCTTGGCGATTTTTCAGATCATTAATAACGCGTCTCTAAATGTCGCTTGAACAACACATCCGTAAACTTTTTTGCGACGAAAAAGGAGGGAAAAAAACAGTGCGCGCTCGCTTTGCCAGTGATTTGCACGATGCCCGACATACATGTTGCGCTTTACGATCTCTTGCAAGCAACAAGAGATTGCGTAAAACGGCAAAAAAAAAATATTTTTCTCTTAATGAAGAGAGCTTTGTTATTCAAATTTCCGTCATTAAATTCGGAATTTTCAGCAAGAACGAAACGATGCAACGGCGTACAGAGAATATTAGAAAGTAGATTGGAGAAGTAACGCTTACAATCACCCAAAAGTTAACACTAGCAATAAGTTTGACGAGACATTGCAATTACGCTCTTTGAATGGATATCTCTGATATAATTGACGTACGCTGTGTTAAAATTTATTCAACATCTAGCGAATGTTTCGCTCTGTATGCAGATTGAACGGCCACAATTAAAACGGAAATGTTCGTTACGCATTGCGGTATTGTTGTAATAATAATTACCTACTGGAAAATCCGCGGAAAAAAAATAAATAGGTGAAAAGATGCATTGTAATAACGTATAAATCGAAAGCACGCTAGTGACAAAGAAATTTTTGTCATTTTGACTGATTTTGTCATAACTATTTTTTTCTCTGTTATTTTGGGATTAAAGATAAGTATAACACATGGAATTTTTATTTTAGATAATATCTATATGGAATATCTATATGATATTTTTCTATTCGAATATTTTAGGATATCTTAGAAAATTTAAATCTTCAAATAATCTAGATTTGAACGCATCATATATTTATTTCCAACCCGAATAGCATTAGATTCGAATGAATCTTGAAGTTTTATTGAATGTAATATTCAGATATTATCAGAATAAAACTTCAAGATTCATTCGAATCTAATGCTATTCGAGATGGAAATAAATATATGATGCGTTAAATCTAGGTTACTTCAAGATTTAAATTTTTTAAGATAGAAGATCCAAATAGAAGAAATGTTGAATTCGGATAAAGATTCGCAACGAAGAGTTTGAGTTTGTAACGGATTCGAATTCGTATCTGGATCTAGATTCGATAATTAAATATGAGAATGAAAAGTTTCCTGAAAGTGACATAAATTATCAGAAAATATCTTATAGGAATTATCAAATACATTGCCAATTCCTTTCTTTCCGATATAGAGATGTAAGTTCAAATTCAGATTCCGATCTAAATTAAGATCCAAGTTCTAATTTAGATCTGGATCTGAATGATTTGGGATTACTATTCGATATTAGGACTATTCGAATTTTCCCAATAATGCGGTTTCGAGTTTTCAAATCGCGTCCGATTTCGAATATTTAAAAACCTTAATTCAGAAGGGATATTTTTAATCTCGCGTGATACGCAAGCTATCGGCGTTCGAACGTTTCTATCCCGAGCGGAGATCAATTCCAGATTGATCGAGAAACTCACAACTGTCTAGAATATTCTGCATAAAATATCCGTTACACTTTCTCGAGAATAACTTTCCTTCCGACGATCCGTTTCCGTAGCCGCGTGTGTTCCGCAACTCTGTAACTTCATAACTCTATAACTCTGTAATCGTAGCCGTTATGGACGGGCATACGTCAGCGACGTCGCGTAAGCATATACATACACGCCTATCTCTATTCATCCGTTCTATCACCTGAGAGAACGACGGCTCCATTCTCGTCGCGCGAAGCGGAAGGTGGCTGCGGGGCGAGGAGGGTGCCCCAGGTTGCGCAGTGCCGGCGCGCGCACTCTTCCCGCGCAAATCGTCGCCGTCGGGAAATCCCCCCTACTTTACCATCCCCCGAACCGCGGGGGAAATCTCTGCGAAACCAGAACACCCCGGCCAGTTCGACATCGCGGCAAACACGAGGTGTTCGACGAGACGATACAAGGTTGACTCTCGCACGCGCGAGAATATTTAATCGCGCGCTGATTTGTGTGCGGCGAACGCGTGTAAGTCGCGTGTTCTTCTCTCTTTCTTTTTTTTTGTCTTTTTGTTCTTCTCTCCGCTTCTCTTCCTCGGAATTTCGCGGGAAGCAGAAAACTCGCGCGCGAATCGTTCCGCGAAGAGACGTCGCCCTCCGACCGCGCGCAAGAAGGTAAAGATCGTCGCCGTCGGGTCTTCCGAGGGGAGAAAGTTTCCTTGACATATTTTGTGCGAGACTCGAACGCGGCTGACAATGAGGGCTTCCCCGTGGGGATGCCGGCACGGCGGGAGATTCGGATAATTTTAGAATCTGCGAAGATCTTAGAAAACGCCGGCAGGAACGGATCGGAATTCTTGCATTTTCTAAACTTAGAAACTGGTGGTTGTACTGAATCTAATAAAATTGGAAAAGTAAATATTGTCTCAATAAAAACTGTGAAAAAAATTAATAGATTTCAAAATGAAGAGAAGTTACACACACACACATATCTTAAGGATTTTAATATTGTAATAATAGATAAAAATTTAGTGAAAAACGTAGGGATTATCGTCATGTTCAAGGCCGTCTACATTTAATTAATTGCTGCGCGTTGTATATATAGTTTTTTTTTGTTATAATTAGGCATGCAATT